TACGCCCTTGCAAGCAACCCTAGTCTATATCGTCTATGCGCAGTTTGTAATGAATAACACCGTCACGATGTTATTGCTTTTTGTTTAATCGGATAAAAAGACCACATTTCAAATATTCCATTTTCCAGTCAAATAAGCAGTATTCTGTAGGGCAGAATTATTTGTGTGTTTAGTTAATAGGCACAAGACTTGCTTTATGAATAGCAAACTCAGCGGGTCAACACCAATTTGATAAGTAAAAAGTATTTCTGTGAGTGGATGGCCGGAGCTATTGAACTTTCTGCACGTTTCTTAGCTTTTTATTAAATGAATGCTTAATAACGAAAAGCAAGCTCATTCCTACAACCACTGCTACCTGGGTCCAAATATTTTGGGGCTGGAAAACAAATTATCTTTTTGTGTCCCATTCAGCAGTGATTCGGTAATGTGTAGTATACCTTCGTGATCACTTACCTTAAGCACTTACGCACGTGTCTGCCATAATAAATTTACAAAAAGTAAATGCAAGCAAATTCTCCAAATTCCAGCATGACACTTAAAATATTTTCATGCCAGTGATTACTCTCTCATACTTTTTATGTGCTTTGGCCTATGCACTGCAGGTGTATGTGTGTTTGTTGTGAATGAAGTTTTAAATTACATGTTAATGTTATTCATTGTTTTAAGCTTAAATCACTTTTAGCGTTTACATATCATTTGAAATAATCTGTTTAAAGCAGTTTGTCATTTATTTTCATTACTTATATGCAGTTATCTTGTCCACTTTATGGACAACAGGGTCCACCAAAGGCAGTTTGTTGTCGTAATGACGAATTAATTAACTAGCAAGAAAACTAATCATATATTTAGATCATCCTGTGATTACAATTTAAAATCGGGTGCTTAACAATGACAGTGAATTCCTGAATCGCCCACATATACGAAGTATAACTCATCTTGAAATGTTATTTAGATAATGAATCATTACTAATTTAATTCATAAAACATAGTCTGGTATTTTCAACTTGAAGATGTGTAAATATAAAAATTAACTGTTTTTTAATAATACTAATTTTAATACAATCAATTGATTTGGAAAGCATTTCCAGAACATTAATGTGTCTCGGGGAAGAAGGGAGGAAAATGGTTGATGAGATTGATGGAATGCAGCCGTTTATTTATTGCAAGGGAGACAGCATAGTGTTGCAGAAGAAAGAGCAATACATCTTTCTGCTTTGTTTTAATTAAATATATGGAACAACTCACAGACTAGCTGAAAAAGTACGACAAATATTTAATGTTCAGCTTTGACCAGCAGATGTGTTTTGTATTATATGTCGATAATATTTTCAAAGATGCATGCACGACATTGAATGGTGGCATCGGTTTACACAACTGCAGGAATAAAAACATACGTGATTATTTATTTCTATTATGGTGCTTCAAAAAAAACTTACACCTTCGTAAATAATACACAAAGCAGGAAACTGAATCTATGAGACTAGAATGTTTAATTCATCATTATGTAAGCAATTTGGAGAGTGATTATATGGTAATTGCTCATTAGCGGTGTATATTTATCGCTGTACCTTATGTCAAGGCCATGGGAATTGTGTAGGGTTTGTTCTCCGGTTTCAGGGATCAGTTTCAGAAGCAATTTGTGAAACAGGATAGATCAAATTTGTACTGACGTCAGGTTCTGCCAGCTCCACTGGATATTCAACCTATAAATATTACACTATATAAGCGTTCTATGTGTTCGATGTTTGGTATGCTGGATTCAGTCGTTCTGTTACAGGAAAGCGATGGTTTATAGTCCATGAAAAAAGACACGGTGCCTTCAGATGGCGTTTTAAAATAGTAATGAAAGGAGGAACCATAGAAAATAAAACGTCAGGTCTTACTGCCACAGCCTGATTCACTTGAACTCCAAGCAGGTTGTTAACAATGATTTATAAATTTGAACTGACCTTAACATGTTTGTTTAAAAGAACAGTATCCGCGCAGCACAGATTGCGAGTATTTTTAATATACTACCGCGATTCGGGAAACATTCCCTTGAATTTTTATCGGTGGCATAAACCTTAAAGTTATTTAGGAGCCATATTCCAGGTTTCTGTTTCAATAATTTTTGGATTTTGAGCTATGTAATTTGTATTCTTAAATATGACAGTATCTTTTAACACGTGCCGAAAGTGGTTGGTGAAAACTATATGAATTAAATCTATTAATGATTAAGTAATTATTTTCCGATAATTTATGTAGGAAATAAAATATGTATGACTTGTTTGAAATCATTGTTTTGAGAAGGAAATCTCTAAACTGGCACAATTCACACAAGCACGTCATTTACAATTTGTAGAACGTATTTAAAGCAATTAATTTATATATTTAGGTTTTAAGACCTAAAGGTACCTGCTTTCTTAAAAACAAGTATCCTGAAATTATCTTACTGTACATGGGGGCAATTAACTGAAATATTCCGGAAACTGAAAATTACTTTAACAGATGATTTTTTTTTAGTTATTCACTGTCATCCGGTTGTTATAAAACGTGCGAGATGACAGTAACCGAAAGTACCGCTTATAGTACGATCATGCTTGACTGATACATTTAATAGATTGATACTTTAAATCCTGGTCTAATTATATGTATAAGGATAAATTTAGTGTGAGGTGACCTCCCTTACTTCATTTGTATGACCATTTTTATGATGCATCCATTCAAGGTCTCGCTGATCCCGAGTACATTCCGCTAAGTATAGTAAATTAGGCAGGGTACCCTCTGGACGGGACGCCAAGCCATCGGAGAGCTCTTACATTCAAATAATAACAGCAATTTAAGATTACCTATTCACCTGAGCATCGGCTTGTGGGAGGAGAGTCGAGGAAACCCACACCAACCCGAGGAGATCATTTAAAATCCAGTCGTGGGTGTAAGGTCCTTGAGCAAATGTGTCATGTAAAAATTCTTATACTGAAATTCAATATAGGCCTACTGACGATGAGGTTTCAAATTTAGTGTTATTGCGTAATTTGATTATTATATTATATTATATTATATTATATTATATTATATTATATTATATTATATTATATCGTCGGATTTGACTATAATGGTCAATTCATCTCATACTCCATTACTACTATTACTACTAAACTACAAACTGTATTTACTACAGATGTATTTGCATTGACGTTTATTTTGTATGCCTAACTTACTGTAACTTACTAACTTACTATAGCCACACACTTACAATTCCGTGTATGCATGAAAACACCCTAATGAATAATATGTTGTTTGGGAAAGTATGGTGCATTTAATAGCTCCCTGGAAAAGTTGTTTCGTTTTATATTTGTCACTCACTTCATATTAGATGCAAACACTGACGCAGTTAATTGGCGAGAGGGGAAAATTAATAAAGGAAGCTAAACACAATTTAGCTGCTTTGCCTATTGAGGCAGAGGTAGAGAAAGTGCGCCAAATTTGTTTGCAGCGGATCAAGGCTCACCGCCTTCACTGCACTTTCTTTATCTTAATTCCAACTTGAAAAGATATAATTATCTAGTTTGAACAGGACCGCTATCAAATCCTTCTTTAAGCAGGGAAGGGAAAAGCTAGAGTGGATTGCCGCGCTCAGAGCCGCTCGGTGTAGCCCGAGATAGGAGTAATGAAGTTGTGGAGTCCTGAGATACAAAGGGCATTAACCTCATTAGCATGAAACCTTTTCTTCTAACTATTGTGGGACCCTTTCAGCCTTCTAATCCCCCTATTTCAAAGCTGGGTTTGTAATAAAGCTTTTAGGGGTTTTTCAAAGCTAATGGTATTCTCTGAAGATTTTTATTGCTGTTATAGTCCACAGACCATTTTAACATTCCCCATCCATAGTTTGCATGTATAGCCCCCCCTTCCAAAAAAGCTCTTTTATAAGCACGGAAACAATTATAGAATAGCTACTTGCCTTTCAGTACAAAATGTCCAAGGTGGATCTCAACGTATGTTTAATTGTGAAAATAAAATACAGTTCAACATGTATAATCATAATAATAAAAATGACCTCGCGCGCCATCCTTCGTATTTTGTACCCTTCCTGTGCCATTATAACATTCCTAAAGTGTCTATAATTGGTCAGCGTATCTCTTAATTTCTCTGCTTCTCAATGAGCATACATCTCTGTCATCAATTATAAATTATATTGATTTATCGCTAAAATGCTAAAAAAAAAAACACACACAAAATGAGATGCCTGGGTTTTTTGTTTGTAATCAAATGAAGAAACCAGCGCGTGCTCGCATGTCCTAATCACTGCGCTCGATGACAAGAGTTCAGACAAAGCTCTATTTTTGCGGCACATTGCAACCTTCCCTTATCACATCGTAAGGGGTAGTCAGATTGTACTAAATTATGTCCAACCAAGCCCCCTTGGATCCACGGATTAAGAGATTAAAGCGGACCACTGGGCAACGCATCCCCTTTCCCCTTCATATTACTCGTATGATAATTGCCTAAACTGATTTGCACTTTCACAAAAGCTCGTAGGACTCTTTGTATCTTGAACAGAACAGACACTGCTTTGCTATCAATGGAAATAAAACTGATTAATGCCGTCTATCAGGCTAAGCGGCAAATGAAGCATGAAAAAACAACTACTTGCCCTAGAAAACTGAGCTTTTTAGAGTTGGTAACAACATTCTTTATATGTTACTTATGAACTATTTAACTGTAATAACGCACTACATTAATTTACATTTTATTGATATTTGACTTGATTTCCTCTGCTTTTGTATGTTGTCTTATACAAATCAAAACTGAATCCACGATAGGGCTGCACATTGTATATTTCAGTACGAGTAACCTGAGAAACAAAAATACTGTCTTTGCCTTCAATGCAGGTTGTTTAAATGTCCATTGAATATTTAAAACTGCTAACCTATTAGCATACTTTCAAAAAGCCGTGTGGATCAACTTTAAAATTACATTTTTAAATAAAAAACCGTTGATTTTACTCGGAGCAGCATACTGATAAAACTTTATTCACAAAATATTGACAATGACATACTTCTTAGAAGTATTCTTTGTGTTAAAATTGTAGCAAACTTAACACAAGCACAAAACTATTTACATTCTGGTAAAAGAGTAACAGAAACATTAACTTTTAGTACCTTTATACATGGAATATGCTCAGTGCTTAAAATCTTGCTGCCCACAGGGTCGTCAGTTATTACAATTAATCCTTCTTGGCAGCGAGTACAGGAGGGCTAGATTTTACAATGTACGTATCAAGGTTACGGAGACATAGTAAAGCTTTAGATTAAAGGAATGTCCTAAATACTTGTATTTAAAGTACTCTCCTTGTGGTGTAGCAAACTTTTATAAAGTTTTGCAATTAATCTCGTTTGTCTCTTAAAAAACACTATAACGCAGCACTGCTACTTCATATTGTTTTCACAATCACTTAAACACGAGAAGTCAAACGTTCAGACTGCACACTGCTGTAAAAATGAAGCACACAATATCTCTGAGGAGATCGAATTAAAACCAATGCATATGAAAAGGGTAAAAGAAAACTAACAATCAAATATGATTTGCCATGCAATTCAAGTTTACAAAAAGCAGTTAAGTGTTTTGGTATCTCGAGTGGAACGCTTATATTTAGAAAGTCTCTTAAGTGCAAATGTCCAATGCGAATTGGATTGATATTGTAGTGGGTGTTTTCTGAAGATAATAGTTTTGTGTATGCGATGGATGGCGGGGGCGTGTGAGTGTGAGGTCGTAGTAGGTATCTGCACGTGACATCTGTGTCAACTTGCCTTGGTATTTTGAATTGGATTGACAGTTCCGTGGTCTTGATAACAGTACCACCAGTCCGACTTCTCACTATCAGCTGCCGATCTCCAAAGAATCGATTTTTTAATATTGTCTTTACCCTCAGTTTCTCTGCTACTGGGTATTCTTTTCAGTGTCATCCATAACGCCGACGTCCCGCGATCATAAATTTAATCGTCTGAAGTGACGTCGATTTCCTCCGGGCTCCCCTGCTTCGTGGCAAGCCTCCATCGATTTATATGATGCGTTCCTTTCTTTTTTTGTTGGGAGTCTGACCCTTCTTCTTCTAGTTTCTGCCGTTTAAATTTTGTTCTTCGGTTCTGAAACCAAACTTTTACCTAGAAGGGAATTTATGAAAATAAATCACATGTCTTCTATACGCGCAGTCTTTGACAGCTTAACAGCACCGAGAGTAAACAAACAACGAACAACGTAGTAATTGCAACATTTCAGAACACGACCGAATCAGGAGGCCCATTCGTATATCTTTGTAACTCTAAAGTTCTGAGTGAAAGGTTTCGATTGTTGGGCCTAAAGTGTTAGTTTTCATTATGCAGCATGTAAAAAGTCTAACAAGGTAAAATGACATAAGAACGCTCTACAATGGCATCTTAAAAACCGCAAGATTTCATATTTAAATTAAACAGTCACCACACCGGTAATTAAAATGTGCTTTTACACACCATCACAGTTAAAGATTTTACTGACACTAACGTCTAAGAAATATAATTTCATTCTGTACACCATTCGGGGCTTTGCCATGACGAGGCATTGGCTAAGACGGTTTTTGTAAATTTACATTAAAAAAATTCCTTTTAATATACACGCGGGAAAACGCAAAAACAAATCAATATTTGGCGTTTAGCAATCTGTCTCATATATTACATGCATGCGTGTCTGTATTGTGACCTGAAGAATGATCTTTAGTGCTCAATCGTTTTTATCCCGTAACTGTGACTTACTGATTTTTAGGAGCAAATGCCCTTAAATTATTTGAGCGGAGTTTATGCATCTAGAATATTGGTTTGTTAAAATAATTTATTATCAATTGCTTGTCATAGCCGTTCTGATTTATGAATTTTATTCTGCACTGTTTGCATTTGTTATTATTTTTCTTAACGTGAAATAAATGTCATTGTGCCGTAGTATATAGCAGGACCGTGTGAACGTCAACACTATTCGTTGTCATTAATTCCGGTTAGTACATTACGTACGACTCTAACACTAATTACACATTGAAACGTCAATAAGACCAATAAATTGGTACTAAAAGTGGTCATGCCGGGTTTCCCTAACGGATGCATTTTATTAAGAACTATTATAAAGTGATGACACATTACTGTAGGAAAATGAGAACCAACTCAAACGGAGCAGACAGAAGTACAGTCCTGGCATTTCGAAGGAAATCTAAACTCGATTATAACCTCATATTACGGAAAAAGGTGTTTCATATTACAGAAAAATAAAGACCTGTTTTACAATTTCTCCAAGTTTATGCAAAAAATTAAAATATTACATTTTGCATTTCTATAACGGACACTCCCTTTCACTCCATTTCACTATTAAATATAGAATGCGGAGTTCTCTGTAGACAATAACATGACATATATTTTATATTACAAACTTATAACTATAACTGCATATATACCTAATCAATTTTAGGCCAAATTCACACAATTCCGCTGATGCAAAACATGACAAATATTCAGCTGCAGTACTGGAATTCAGTAACATAAAAAAAAACATTATATGTCTTTCGTTTAATAAGAACATTTTAAGGCCTGACTGTATTGTTTATCCAGAATATCGATAGGTGTATGTCATTTAAAGCTAAGTTAAACGCAACTGAAACAATGCCGAAAACAAGTTAAACAACTTGTCAAAATTATAATTTAATTAATAACTACGGATATTTTTCCAGTCGACCTACCCTGTGCAGTTTGTAGACAATTTGAAAAATAGGATTTTACGTTTGAAATGTAACTTAAATCTCTTACCTGAGTTTCTGTGAGGCTAAGGCTGTGAGCAAGCTGTTTTCGTTCGGCACCAACAACATAATGATTTTTTTCGAAAGCGTGTTCAAGCCGCAGTAGTTGCGAAGGAGAAAAAGCTGTCCGAATTCTTTTGGGCTTTCTTGCCAATGCGTTATGTAAAAGAAAGCTTTCTGGGCTTGTTTCGTTCCCTGTGTACAAAATAGAAAAAATATATAATTAACCCTGGCCTGTCTTCCAATTTATCAACAACTGGGTTCACATAAATTTCCGAGGAATAACGTATTTAATTAAGACGTAATGTACTGCGATTTTACGGCATACAACACACGAATTTACGCGTCAATTTGGATATTTACAGTACGGAAGATTGATCTTGTTAAAGAAATTTAAACGTAATAAAAGTATAAACACAATGATTAATAAAAGACAAAATATTCACACGTTTGCTTTACACGGTAATTGCTGTTACGAGTACAATTTTTACTTAAGTTCACAAACGCGAAAGGGCTCGAGGGTAGGCATAAAAATTAATAACACGTGGTCTAAAAGTCTGAAATTTTAGAAAACGTTAAAAAAAAATCTTATGAAGGATGTTATGTATTGTATTTTGACTGACATAAACATTATTTCAAGATTATAAAATTTTAATACAACAAACACCTGGCAAGCATTTGATTTCAATGTTTATTTCAAAGGCAAATATAAACGGTAAACGGTTTTACTGTGTTAAACGGAAATATCGTAATGTATTTCAATTCAAGAAGCTCTAAAGAACTGAGTTAACCTAATTTATTATTACGCATATTACCAACCGAATACTATAAAGTTGTGGAATAGGGCAATATGTTTACTTACTGAAAGGCCTTTTCCTCAATAATGTATTTAAATATCTACTTTTGCTAATATTTAAATATATTCGTTTGCACACACATATAATTCGACTGAACTGAGCCATTTTATTTTTGTTAATATCAATTCATATTTTTATATTTAGTGTATAGAACTTTATTCTCAATTGTTAATATATTAGCATATAAAATTAGCATTTAACCTGTGTTTGAATTAGTCTTGACATTTACTTACATTTCCTAGCTTACAATTTAAATAAGAAGCAACGTTAATTTGCTACAATTTTGCTTTTTTTATGTATTAAATAAAGCATAAACATACCTTGGAATCTATGCCCCAAATACCTATATCTATGAATTAGCCAAGGGTAAAAAGTTGAAGGATCCCTTTGCTGACTAGCAAAAAGAGGGTGCGGACTATGCGAGGACGATAACGGGTGAGTAGCCAAAGCATGTGGAGGGGGTACAGAATGAACCGGGACAGCGGAGTTTGGAGGATGCGAAACCGCCTCAGCGAACACCAAGTCCGTATTAGAGTAGACGCCCCTGCCGCTGGAGTGAAAGCCGTTCAAAAAAGGATTCATCTGGCTTGAATTTGCATAGCTGAGAGCTGCTGGTCGAATGGGTTCCTCTGACCTCGACGCCGGTTGAGGATTATCCTTCGCTACCAACGATTCAATAGTAAAACACCGCTTCGGTGTCGGCTGAAACATGTTTTACCAGTCAAAATCCACCAGCTCAAGTCAAAGCAAGTTTTCTATTTTAAAAATACTCCACTCCGAGGTTGAAAGTTTTCCTGCGATGTATAAGTTGTATAACGAAAAATAAATCAGGTCGAAAAAATTCTCTCTCAAAAAAAAAACAAATCTCTTTAAAGGTAATCGCCTAGTCCAGACAATCCATGAATGTGATCAGTTCTTCACCAGTTGTGCAAGCGATTTGTTAGTTCATGAGCCCTAATTAGTGATGGAGTCACATAAACAGCTTCCTCTGAAGCTTGTAATGGCTTGGTGATTGGTCGCTGCTACTTGCCTTAAGGTTGAGAGAAGACTCTTTAAGTGCGTCAAATGAACTAGCACGGAGAGGCGGATTCAAGCAAAACGGAACGGATTCGTTCAGAACGAAACCTACCGCGATTTACATACTCGCCTGAGCCAGTAGAAAGCCAGAAGGTACTTTAGTTTCTTCGTAGGTAGAACATTATTGAAATACGGTAGTTGAATTTTTGTAGAGCAGTTTATTTCGTTAAGACGACAGTTCATTAAATAGCATTTAATCATTATGACATTTTTGTTGAAAATGTTTATTGTTTCATACGTTAATTTAAAAAGAAATATTTTGCGTCGCTACTTTTGTTGATTTTACAGGTTTTTAAGACTAATTTATGACGGTTTAAATTTGCTATTATTTTAATTTTTGTTCGCTGTGCCACCCATCCCCCATCACGAAAGCAAATTCTATGTCTCTCCACGTTTTCATTTTCTCCGATGGTCCTGAGATTAATTTAGGGGTTGAAGGCTTCTTTGTTTCTATTGGCCGGTCTATTGGCAAGACGGTTGTTAGATACACACAATACGCTTTTCTGTGTTTGTTTGTCCTACGGCTGTAAGACCGTATTATTCAGCTATCGGTAATTATATTGTATGAATAACATATATGGTTTGTAGAATGAGCAGCTGTAGCGTGCTTTATTTAGCGCGTCCAGAGTATCTTGAAGATGGCAGTACGTGTGAGATTTCTTATAGCCTATAATTTCATTCCTTCTAAGTGACGTATTTTTATTATTACGATATAATATAGTATTTAACTAAAGATCGATTGTCAGTATTAGTTATGCCATTTATAAATATCTTTAACGTAATTTCATATGGTTAATCAGAATTTTATTACCAAAAGGTGCCGCGCGAGTTCCTTTCCATTTTGGAATGCACACCTTATTCTTGCAAAATATCAAATAAAGTTGATGAGTATTTCTATTGCCATGTCTCTTCCATATACTGTCCATATGCGCTCTGCGCCCGCACATAATACGTATTTCGGTGTAATTATTATTTTAAATATCCATTGTGTTCAAAAGAAATGTCAGTTGATGTAGCAATACAAAAAGTGAAGGGAAAGAAATTTTGCGTATCCTTGTGTGCTGAACATTGTTAAAGCACTGCATAAATTATCCGAGTTTAAAAATTGGAAATGTCGATCAGAGAATTACACACACATATATAATATATATAGGCCTGTATTTTGCTAAAAGTCTGTGAAATAGTATGCTTACAACTAAAAAAAACTTATGCTCTATTCGTATGTTCCAGATTTCGCTTGTTAACAGACTTTCATTATTATTCAACGTACAGTATTCTTTTTAAATAAAACAGTATTTGCTCAAATGTAATATTTGGTTACATAATTAAACTCGCGCTAAAATAGGCTGAAACAAAATATTTTGAAACATTCTAAAGCAATTAGAAGAAGTCAACAAACAGAAAGGTGGGCTCCAGAAGACGATTCGCATGTAATACATTAGCGTTCGGCGTGATGCGAAAAAAAACTGTACATCTACCAATACGACAGTTTCATGTACAACAATGAAACAGTAGTACCCAGAACAGTACACCGAAAAACTCCCCGGTAAGTAGAAATACTTTCGCCTGAAAATTAGAGTATATTGCATATTACACGCTATAGTGGAGATGTTACGTCACATGTCAAAGTGTCTTAGTTATTGTTCATACCCACATATTGTATTTGCTTATTTTTTCCTAATGTTATTTTCTTAATTTAATATCTGGTGTTCTATCTCATATCTGTAGATTGTAGAAAATTACGTAAAATGTTAAAAAGTAATATTTCCCGTTAACCATTAACGCTTTAGGAAGTAAGTAAACTATTGTCTGAATGCTTTCAAACTATGAGGTTTGATGTGATGTATTTGCTATAATTTCGCTGACAAAATTGGTTTCTTTGAACTTAAAACGTTCCTTACATTTCACGAGCAAATAAGTTAACTACCTATTATAACAGTTTTGCTTGCAACAGAATTTTTTATAATGCTTGTCGAATGTACAGTACACCGCTTCAGGTCAGAGCTGCGTTTCCTCATCCAAACTACGTGTTATGCTAAAAATATAAAAAGCCATTATACATGATTATACGTTCATAATTCAACAGTTCAATATACACATGTAATCACATTACTAGAAATGTTTAACAAAGAAATTGCTAGTTCCGTTTGATTATACAGGGAACTCGTAAACAGACCAACTGAAAAACGACTGTATTTTTTCAAAAGACGGTGCTATAGCGGCTTCCTGTGGACATAAAGCGCACCTTTGCCAATTAAGCCCAACAACCATAGCAACATTTAATTTCTGTCAGCAAAATACTATACTTTGTGTATATTTCAGAAGACAACATATAACCTGAATCTAAGATGCAACATAGTTGTTAAATTTCAGAACTCTAAAAGATGAAGAAAATTGCAAGAATAGAACCATTCATTATTATGATTGCATTCAGTTCATTATAATTAAATAGCTTGATTTTTCATAGTATACGTGTTGGTAGGTAGGCCTAAATCAGTTTGTCCCCTACCCTTGAACCCGAAAATGTTTTCATAACAGCGGAATTGCAAAAAGGATATTCGTTTTAGTTGTCAAAGTAATATTGTTCCGAAAACTCAGTATTCAGTGGTTATGAAGAATTTAATTAAATTCAACTTCTAAAAGACCGACAGACTAATCAATCGTTATATTATACGTCATTGATATAAGAAAAAAAGTTACGAGGAAATCAATTATAAACATATCAGAGTGTCGTTTATTTGCTGCTTTTTATTTCAATCGGTATCACTAGCTCAATCACCTTATGTACTACCTTTACCTCACAAGATAATTTGTATTGCAGGTAGACTTATTGTCTTATCTGAAGAATAAGAGGAATTGTATGGGAAACCTTCGTCCAATAGGAGTTTGAGAGTATTGCTTACAGAACAATCTCTTTTAGCAATATATTTGACTTTAACACGATGAACTGGTCACGCAACAATCAGAATATATTTAACTTTTTATATATATCATACTGGCCTAAATTCATTCAATTTGTAAAATGAAGCCGTCGCGGAACGTGAGGTTACAACCATTTCAGCACTCGAGTGTTCTCCTCGCGATTGATTTATTTTGTTCGTTCGTATGTCTCAGTTAACAACTGTCAGTTGACGTATGAAACAACAAATGCTTTAATATACGTTCAGAACAATCAATGCAATAAAGTGACAATTAAACGATTAGACTGGTTTTTAAATAAATAAATGAAGAATGCTTAAATTTGGAGGAATTTGTAGTCAAACGAGCACCTCTTACCGTCTCTATAAGCAGAGTGTACAGTTTACACGAGGAAGACTAAGCACATGACTACACAGTTGGTTTGCCATTTTAAACGTCGAGAACGTTAACGTTTATAATCTTGCAATCATGTGTATGTAGCATGTAGCCTGTGTTTCCCAGATCTCGTGTGGGTGAATAGAAAGTTAGTGTATTTTGTAATACAGCCTTTTTATTATTGCCTCTACAATTCAACGTTGGAATTATGAAATAACTTTAATTTGGGACTCTACAGTCCCATTCGAAACGTATAACAATAATAATAATAGTAATAATAATAATAATTATTATTATTAATAATAATATCTTCCAGTGAGTGCTCACCTTTAAGTTTATGAAACAAGGTTAAACTGCATGCCTACCTAATATAGGGCAGATAACATACAATGCTATGATATAATACATAATAAATGTCGTATGCGCCATAAAAAAACCCACATAAATAACTGATTTAAAGCAGAAACAAAAACATTCCCTGCCACATGTATCGACACAGGTAAATTTAAAGTATTATGCGTTCAGATTATGTTGATCCTCAATAGCAATAATAGGAATGGCAATCTTTAAATATCAAGAAAAAAGAAATCGTATGTTACTAAAGCGGACAATCAGTATGGATCTTTAATATAAAATGCTTTTATAATAATTAAACGTTCTCTTTTGCATATTAAATTTTGAGTCATGCATTAAATTTATTTTAAAATTGTAAGTCGAATACATATTTTTTCAACTCGAGGTTACTATTTTTATTGTTATTATTATTATTATTATTATTATTATTATTATTATATTTAAATGTCGAGTGACAAATGCATTACTGCTGCCAAAAAAGATTGTGCTACAACAGCGTGCTAGGTAGGACTCGGATATGTAATTTTCCACAACGGAACAAAGACATCAGTTTTTCAACTCTAAAAGCAGATGTTCATATAGAAATGTATCATTATACAACCTTGACATTAGGATACGACAAATTATTACTAAAGACGAATAATATCTCCTTCTGAAGGGTTACAAGGGAACATTGCGCAGATGCCTATAAAAGTTAGAAATAGTAGTGTATAAATTCACCGCTCATCTAAAAACTCATCAGGTTACCGTGTGTGTACAAATGCTAAACATTGATTTAAGTTAGCCTTCTAGTTTTGTTCTGGAACCAAGAATAAACCGATTAGGATCTCATTACGTTATGTCTAAGTGTTATATCCAGTATTACTATAATTTTGAAAATTAAAATAATAGACGATTAACCAACCCTAACCCACCACGTTATAGGCTATAGCAACTAAGTTGAAGCGACAAGAAGACGCTTAGTAAAATAAGCAATTGGCCAATTTCTATTTATCGGAAAGATACGTATTTTCACATATTGAATTTGCAGTTAGAAGATAGAACAGGATTGGATGAATGGTTTGCTTATGTTAATACGCAGGGATGTTACCATACACTCGCTAAAATCTTATTATATTTTTAACAAATATAATAATTTGGGAAATCAAAGGGATGTAATGACTAGCTGAAACACCCGTTTAATAAATGATTGGTTCCAAACATGTCGACAAATTTTGTCTTGTAAATGGGGCCAATTACTTTAAATGACTGCACAAGTAGAGCTGTTGCCTTTCCTTATTCTGA